TTATTCTTAGAACTCATCTATTTTAGAATGACAACATGCTACACTTAGCCATTCATATCAAATAAAAATGTATCATGGAATGTTCTTGGAAAAACTCAATTTTCCCTATTTTAGGTAATTTCATTGAAAGTACATCACAGGTTTTTGTTCGCTCCTGCTTCCACCGTAGTCTTTGCCTCTAGGGATATATTGTAACTTGGACACTGTCACAGAGCTTCAGAATAAGATTATGTCATCCTTTGGCTCAGACTTCAAATGTTTGAGTATTTATATGAATAACGTTCTCCTTTTGTCAAACACAATAAACCACACTGTTCCCCCCCACCCAACACATACTATTGTTGTTGTTGTTGTTGTTGTTATGTGCCGTCGAGTCAGACCTGACTCATAGCGACCCCTCCTTGGGTTTCCGAGGCAGTATCACTACAGAAGTAGGATTGCCCAACCTTCCTTCTGAGGAGTGGCTATTATTCAACCAAAATCCTATTCTTGATGACCTTGTTCCAGAACAAAGAGAAATAAAATCACTTCCACTTTTTCTTCCCCAATGTATGCACTTTTGTGCACTGTGATGCCAGCCTTTTGTTCCCTCGTTTCCAAATCTCAGCCTTCTTTCCCTGATAGCTAAGGAGTAAGCTTCAAAGATATATTCATTGCCAAATCATCTCCTGGGATTACATGAGCCACCTGGTCTCCCTGGAACAGCCTTTTTATTTTGTTGCCTCAGCATAATTGATAGCACCCTCTTCCCATTTCTAAAGTATCCCAGTTTGCACAATAAATTATATGATTCCTACATATATCATATACCTCATTGTTCTCTTCTCATTCTACCAGTTCTCCATTTCCAATTATAACCAAGTTTAAATATATATATATATATATAATTATGGATCAAATGGAAAAGAACTGCTAAGTCATCTTATGCAATTCCATACTGAAAATCTGACAAAATCCCTGACAAGATTCAGACTCTTTCTGAACTTCCTAGTAGCTTATGAAGTGGTCTTTTCCACTACTAGGAATTGCTAAGTTTTAAGAAAATATTTATTCTCAGCCTAAATTTTATTATTCTTCCCCAGTCTAATATTGATAGTACATAGGTTGAGGATTCCTTTCTCAATCACAACTTTTTTTTTAAGAGTCTTTAATGCCTGACCCGAGGCATCCACTATATGTCATGAATTAACTTCTTTCCTAGACATCTGTTGTTGTTGTTATGTGCCATTGAGTTGGCCCTGACTCACAGTGACCCCTCCTTGGTTTCTGAGGCAGTATCACTACGGAAGTAGATTGGCCAGCCTTCCTTCGGAGGAGTGGCTAGTTCTTGTTATATACTATCCTTGGGAGAATTGAGAAAATTGTCACTCAAACAATTTTTTTATTGTGTGGTTCAGAAGAGGAATGTCAGTTAAAAGGTAGTGAGGCTCTACCTTTTACTAGCAGTGTGACCTTGAAAAATTTATTTCATGTCCTTGAGCCTCAGTTTCTCAGCAATGAAAGTATTTTTTAAAAACTAAGTTGCTGTTGATTCTGATTCATGGCAACAGCACGTGTCAGAGCAGAACTGTGTCCCATAAGGTTTTCATGGCTGATTTTTCAAAAGTAGATCACCAGGCCTTTCTTCTGAGATACCTCTGGGTGGACTTTTGGTTAGGAGTCTGTTATGCCTGTTGCCTCAGTGTAATTGATAGCAGCCTCTTCCCATCCCTAAAGTGTCCTGGTTGGCACAATAAATTACATGATCACCCCATATATCATACTTCATTGTTCTCTTCTCATTCTACTAGTTCCCCAATCCCAGTTATAACCACTTAAAAAAAAAAAAAAAAAAAAACCAACATAGAATTATGGATTAAATGGAAAAGAATACCTCCCTTATACACTCCTGTGGGAATTAAATGACACATTTAAAGCTTCATAAGCTCAAACTTTATCTTGTTTACCACTTTAGTCTCATCAAGCACAGAATAAGTCTTCAATAAACGGCAAATAAACAATAAAAGCCCCTAGCATATAATCTTGTGCATAACACTAAAACAAAAAAAAAAACAAATTCACTGCCATCAAGTTGATTTTGACTCATAGCGACCCCTCCTTGAGTTTCCGAGCAGTGTCTCTACAGAAGTAGATTGCCCAGTCTTCCTCAGAGGAGTGGCGGGTGGGTTTCAACTGCCAGCCTTCTGATTAGCAGTCAAATGCCTTAGGCACTACACCACCACTTATTCTCAACAAGCAAAGAATAAGTCCTCAATAAGTTGCAAATAAACAATAAAAGCCCCTAGCATATTATCTTGTGCATAACACTCAATAAAAAGTAGCAATTATTCTTGCAATCATTCTTCTATGACCTGGTTTCCAGACTCCTCACTATATTCACTCTTGTGGAGGCTCTCTGGTTTATCAACATTCTTCCTAACATGTGGTTGTAACAATTCAAACCTATGTGGTATGTAGCAACTTTGTTCTATCTGAATATAATTATTTTAAGAAAGTCTAAATAAAAACAACAATGAGCTACCATCTTGCCCCAGTACTAGCAGCAAAGTTCAACAAGACAGAAAATAACAAATGCTGGTGAGGATGCAGAGAAATTGGGACTCTCATACACTGCTGGTGGGACTGTAAAATGGTACAACCACTGTGGAAAGCAGTAAGGCGATTCCTTAAAAAGTTGGAAACAGAAATACCATTTGATCCAGCCATTCCATTACTAGGTATATATCCTAAAGAAGTGAGAACCATGACAAGAACAGACATATGCACACCCATGTTCATTGCAGCACTATTTACAATAGCAAAAAGTTGGAAACAATCTAAGTGTCCATCAACTGAGGACTAGATAACCAAACTATGGTACATACACACAACGGAATACTATACAACCCTAAAAAATAACGTAGAATCTGCAAAACACTGCATAACATGGATGAACCTGGAGGACGTTATGGTATGTGAAATAAGTCAATCACAGAAGGACAAATATTGTATTAGTCCGTTATTTTAAAAGTCAAGGAACTCCTATTTGTTAAGGCTACCCCATTTGTGGTATATTTCTTGTCAGAGAGGCATTAGGTGACCAGAACAGCTCAGGATCATGGTCACAGGGGACATCAAGCTCAATTGGCATAACATACTACAGAAAACATTGTTCCACCTCCCAATAGTAACTGGGATCTTAAAAGCTTCCAAGCAGCCATCTAGATGCAACGATGGGTCTCTCCTTGTCCAGAGCAAAGAATGAAGAAAACCATAAATTCATGGAAACAACTAGTCCTTGTAACTGGTACACCGTGCAATCCTCAGGCTATGACTATAAGACCAGAACTAGATGGTGCCTGGCTACGACTCTCAACCACTCGGAGGGGGATCTATGTAGGAGATCCTGGATAGAGAGGGAGAACAATGTGGAAAACTCAAAATCATTTGGGGGAAAAAAGAAAGGGACCAGGTTTGCTGGTCTGATAGAGCCTGGTGGAACCACTGAGACTATGGTCCCTAGCTGCCCTTCAGGTCTGGAATTGAACCCACACCTGTGGCTTTCAGCCAAAAAAAAGACAGGTATAAGAGTTGAACACATACCTGAGGTAGATACACTCTTTGGAGAGAATAATCATGGGAGAAAGAAGGCCTGTTTATGCACAGGGAGACAGTTCAGGGGGCAGGAGTGCATGGAGGGATGGACACAGGGAAGAGGTAACTATGGGGAGGAAGTGGGAGGGAGCTGTTGCATTGTGGTAAATCGTAGTCAATGTCGTGAGACAACGTATGTGTAAACTGCTGTGTGGAAAGTGAATTTGCTCTGTAAATTTTTACCCAAATCACAATTAAAAAAAAAGAAAACAAAGTCTAAATAGACAAGGCCCACTGGGAGAAAAAACTACCTGCTTACATTAAGAGTTGGCAATTACATCAACTTTGTCCTAATACTCTTTATCTTTGGCAGGTGTCTGCATTTGGCTAGGTAAGACAACAAAAACAGCCAGGTTAGGAAACAACCAGGATGGTACAGAACTATGGAAAGCCACTGCAACCAGTGCTTATTCTTATCACTCCAACTATTGAAACGAGTGTGGTTACATTTATGAGCCGCTTCATCTAGTTTCCTCCTTAATGGCTGAAAGTTTATTCACAGCGATTACTGTAGAGAATATACTTAAATATTGTTGAACAGTTGAGTGAGTAAAAGCTAACAAATTTCATGGGAGTTGTAGTGGAGAGACAAACGAATTTATGATAGGAGCTCATGGGACTAACGTTTTCACCAGTGTGTTTTGGGAAAGCAGGGATTGAGGAACGGGGATAGAATGTGAGTAATAAGGCAAATGTGTAAAAATCATTCTAAGCCTTTGACAAAGAAAGGAATGTACATTGGTTCAGTAACTTGCAACAGTAGCAAGGTTTAGGTTTTAATTTTGTTGTTTTGAGTGTAGTTGAGATTTGAGCTCATCTAGATACTCTTTTTGAAAAGCTGAAGGTGGGGGATGGAAGACGTTTATGTGTTGGGAAAAGATGAAAGGGCATTATGTTGGGCCTTGGGCGGAAGAATAAGTAATGAAGCATTTTTCACGAACAGTAAGTAAAAGCAAAGGGTAAGATTTTGAAGTAGGGGTACAGTTTCAAAGTAGGAGAATCAGGTGTGTGTGGGGGTAAGACTTGTGTAAATCAGTGAAGTCTGGATTTGTTATTGCAAGCAAACAAGGGTGAATAAAAGAACTGTTTTTATTCACCCCTTTGTTCTTGGCCCCATTAGCTCAGCTTTGTGACTACCTAAGAAATCTCTTTTACCTCCTCCTGACCTAATCATTCTGGCCAAATAAACTCATTTGACATAACAGTAAAATTTTCCTTTGAACAGGCCGTCAACAGAACCCCTACCTATTTTTCATATTGAAGTGAGAACACCCCCCTCTAAAAATAAGCCCGCGGTCGCACGAAGAAAGGCTTTGGAAAGATCTTAATTTATAAGCTAATCACGGAAGGCAGAGGGAAGCATTCCTTTAAGCTGGAATTCGGGCTACGACGACACCTCCATGTGCTCTCAGCCGCTGTTGCAGCACACTTCTTAAGAGATCAAGTTTAACCGCAGGCGCAGGGTAAGGTGAGAATCTGCCTTGGCGGCCTCGGTTCCGGCCATGCGGTTCCCTTCCCTTTATAAAGCGGGCAGAACTTCGACCTCCACCATTTACCCGACGGCTCTCCATTGGAACGCTCGGCCGTACTATCTGCTCAGGAACTGGTCCTGGGTAAAGCACCCCAGGCCTGGTCATGAAAAAGTTGTCTCCAGATACCATAGCCAACGCAAAGTCCGACGGGCTGAGGTCAGCATGAGCTGAACGGTATGCCAGCCCGTACCCTTGATCTCCAGCGCACAGAGAAACACAGTTCAGGGTCATCTTCAAACACTAACCGCAGTACTTGCAATAGTCCCTCGATCAAAGTAGCCCTCCGCAGATCCACAAATCAATCCAGGCTGTCTCCGCCCCGGAAACAAACTGCTCCGGAAGCCATAACTACAGAGCGGCCGGCCGATAGAGGAGCCGCCTTGAATGAGAGCTCTCCTCGCGAGCAAGCGTATTTCGTCACCGTACGTCGAGAACGAGCGTGATTGACGTTTACGTCGCGTGACGTCTAGAAACGCGAGAACGTGAGGTTTCCGAGAATGCGCAGTGAGTTCGTCGGCCAAGACCCTTCGGCCTTAGCGGGGAGGGGGCGACGGTGACATGGGGGCAGCGGCAGCGGAAGCGGATCGTACGCTCTTTGTGGGCAACCTTGAAACTAAAGTGACAGAAGAGCTCCTTTTCGAGCTTTTCCACCAGGTAAGTGGCTGGGATCAGCCTCTTTTCCTTTCATTTTCTGGCTTGCGTAGGGCCTGGCCCAACGGCCATCGTCTCTTTCTTCTCGAGAGCTTGGCGGTGGGTCAGAGCCCCCAACCTGTGGTCCTTTTTGGGGTGAGGTCGCGCTTTGAAAGTGAGGCGCTAGCATCGCGTCATTTGAAAAACTCTAGTTCTGGGCAAGAGCGACGATTAATGGTGATTGCGGAATCCTCAGTGAAGCATTCTGGTGGTAAAGATTGTGACGTCTTCATAGACATACGAGTGAATTCTTGGCCGGCCAAGCAGGGATTGTCTTATTCCTCCTTTCCGTATCTTCCCTTTAGAATGATTTGTCTTTGGTTGATCTTCCCAAGACTCACGGATAGACTGTATTTCAATTTCTTTGTCGGTCACTATTTTTCACTTAAATTTCCTATAAAATCACAGCATTCTTAAAATAGCTTAAATATGCTCAATAAAACTCCGTGGGAAAGTAGCATTGCCGTATTTGTGTATTAAAATCCTCAAGTCGTGTGTACTAAAATTCTAAGTATCCTGTCCGTCCGTCGGTCCGTCCGTCCGTGTTCCCCAACCCCCAGTAACTGGTAATATTTGATTAGTCGATACAAACGTGAATTTTTAGCCCAAGAAAATCACTTTTTCTTTCTTTTGAAACACGTAAATTTCCGTGTGGTAGGAAAATATTGGATGATTGTTATCTTTTTAAAAAATCACACAGTGTTATAGCTGGGCATTCAATTTTTTGTGGGCCCCCTTTCTCAAATCTAATTTTCAGTCATAACGGGATTTTTATTCTAAGATGGAAATGCGTGTGGATCTCTTTCTCTCTCTCTCTCTTTTTTTTTTTTTTTTTTGTTGTTGTTGTTCCTGATTACATGTCTGTTGCTTTTAAACTTTGTTGACTATTTAATTTGCAAAATCTGGAAATTTTTTCTAGTATCGCCTTATTTAAATTCCAACTCTTGTTTGTTTGCTTGTAGGCTGGGCCAGTAATAAAAGTAAAAATTCCAAAAGATAAGGATGGTAAACCAAAGCAGTTTGCATTTGTTAATTTCAAACATGAAGTATCTGTTCCTTACGCAATGAATCTACTTAATGGAATCAAACTTTTTGGAAGGCCCATCAAAATTCAGTTTAGATCAGGTAACTATTCAGTGATGTTGCTTTGAGGGGTTATTTTGTTTGCTGCTTTGTTTTTTGTTTTGACTTCACTGTTCAGTTTTGAAAACCTTTCTCTTGGGTCTTTTGGGGCAAAAATACACAGCTTATGCTTTGTCTGATATCAAACTTTATATTTCCTTGAAAACAGCAAAATTGACAAGGTGGATTTTAAACATTGTAATTTTAAAATCAGGTCTAAAATTTCAGCTTGGGTTAGTGGCTATCTGTATTGTTAAAAGGACTGGTTTGGAACCAGTCTCTGAAAGGAGCAGGGTTATTTTCTGAAAGTACTTTTCTTGGCTGTTTTGTAATTTACTTTCCCAAATTTTGATTGTTGAAAATGTGAGCGTGAAACGCCACTTATCCAATCTTAAAATTAATACAGTGATCAGAATATTACAGTCAGATTGCTTATATATACATTGTATAGTACTCAGTTTGGATACCTGTTTTGAGTATCTGACATTATGCATTTATTATTTTCACTGATAAAACTGTAAAGGAGTATACTGTAGTTTGAAGTTTTCTGTTTAAGCTTATATCTTATGTTTTGGAGTGTTTAGGGTGGGGGAGAAAATTTCAAGTTAAGTTTTCTATCAAGAATTTTTTACATTATTTCATTTTAGGAAGTAGCCATGCCTCACAGGATGTCAATATGTCATATTCCCAGCATCACGCTGGAAATTCAAGCCCTACTCCTACTCCCCCATCTCCTAGCAGGTAATATTTCTCCCTATTATCATCATAGGTAAGAATGTTCTTAGGTAGTGATCTCATAATGCATAATGAGTGAATAGCTTCCTTCTATATGTTCCTCTACCTCTTTTATTCTACTATATTACATGTCACTTTGGATCATAGTTATATGTGTATCCATTCTAAAGGAACTATAGACAGAATACACATTATATATTAAAAACCAGACTCACTGCTGTCAAGTCGATTCCAGCTCATCAGCCCTCTTTGGGTTTCCAGGCTGGTAAGTCTTTATGGAAGTAGATTGCTCAGTCTTACTTCTGTGGAGTGACTGGTGGGTTTGAACTGCCAGCCTTCTGGTTAGCAGTCAAAATGCCTTAGGCCCTGTGCTTTCTCACTCATAAGGACATATACCCATACCTACATGTATTTATGCATCATTGAAACAATATTTCTCAGAACTTTATCTATCCTTACTACTTGCAGTAATATTTTTATTTTATTCTGGTATTTTTATTTCATCTTTTAGAAAATTAATTTCATAACTGCTAATCAGTTATTTATGATGTAAAAGTACTGATTAGTAGACAGATGACTGGGCTGAGTTTGTGAAATTGGATTCTAATCTGCCTATCTGCCTGTACAATTAATTGTGTTACCTTTAGTTAATCTTACTTCTCTGATCCTATTCTTTTATTAGGCACTCTGGTAGCATAGTGCCTAACGTACTTGACTGCTAACCAGAAGACTGGTGGTTCAAACCCACTAGCCACTCCTGGGAAGGAAGGTTGGGCAGTCTACTTTGGTAGTGATACTGCCTTGAAAACCAAAGGAAAGGGTCGCTGTTGAGTCAGGGCTGACTCGACAGCACATAACAACAACAACAACATTCTTTTATTTGTCAGCACAAACAGTTGAAGTAAATGACCTATAAAATTCTTCCCAGTTACAGAGGGTTAGAAAAGGTACCATATTTACTTAAATAATTTTATTTGCTTTGAGGAGATTGATGTATTACCTGGTTCAGATTTCTCTGTTAATATCCACAGTACTGTTAATGAATTTCATTCAAGAAAAATTTAATAAGCCCTTGCCATGTATCAAATTCTTTGCTAAATCCTTTGCATGTATTATTTATTCCTCACAGAAGTCTTCTTGTTACTGTTGTTGTTGTTAAATGCCGTTGAGTCAGCCCAGACCCATAGCGACCCCTCCTTGGGTTTCCGAGGCAGTATCACTACAGAAGTAGATTGCCCCATCTTCCTTCTGAGGAGTGGCTGGTGGGTTTGAACCGCCAGTCTTCTAGTTAGCAGTCAAGTGCCTTAGGCACTATGCTACTAGAGCTCTTCATAGAAGTCTTAGGAGTTAGCAGTCTCATATGTGAAGAAGAGTTGATAAGCAATGAGGCTGGGATTCAAACCCAGGCAGTGTGATAGAGCCCAGTCCCTATAATATATTGCCTTTAAAAAAAAAAAAAAACTCACTGCCATTTAGTAGATTCTACTCATAGCGACCCCTCCTTGGGTTTCCGAGGCAGTAGCTTTATAGAAGTAGATTGCCCAATCTTCCTTCATGGAGTGGCTGGTGGGTTTGAACTGCCAGCCTTCTGGTTAGCAGTCAAATGCCTTAGGCACTACGCCATCAGAGTGCCGACATATTGCCTAGTGGAGCTTAAAGTTAAGGTGAAGACACATACGTGTTTCTGTGACTACCTGTTTAATTACTGTAATAGGTTCTCTGAAGAGGGAGTGAAGTGCTTTGAGAAAGTTTAACAGGAGAGACTTAAAATAGATGGATGTGGGACTGAAAGCCAGTGGGCTTAGATCCTAATGAAAATTAGTATATGATATCAATGAAGTAGGTAGATAAAGGCCAGATGATACAATGTCTTTATGAGCCATAATCAAGATACTGAGATTTTTACCATAAGACAGTAGGAAGATGTTGTAAGAGGTTAAGCCGGTTAGTTTTAGAGACAGATTTGTATTTTACAGAGTCTTTGGTTGCAATGAAATAATAGATTGGAGGGTAAAAAATTAAAAATAGAAAGACCAGTTAAGAATCTATTGGTAGTGATATGGGTGTGGTTGGTGGTTTGGATTAGGATGTGGCTGAGAGCTAGAGAGGTGATAGTTATTGGAAGGTGGAATAAAAACAGTGCAAGAAAGGTACCTTCCTAGTATCATTTCTTGCCAGCTAAAATTAATTAATGGTGTTTAAACAATTCTCAGTAAGCTGTGAATTCAAAGCATCTCCAACCGCTTTTGTGGAACCTGCAAAGATGGCTTAGGTGGAAAATTTATAACACAGGTTCTTTTTTCACCTCAGAATTTCTAATATTTTAGTTCTAATGAAAGACTAGAGTGTTTATCTTTTTTATGCTCTTTTTATAATAAAAATTAAATTGTGTTTTTTTTGCTTTAGCATACAGGTATGTAAACTGCTATAAGAAAATCCAAAATAAAAAGATACAAACTGTAAGACAAGTTGATCTTTTGATTTCAAAAATACACTTTTAAATAAAATTAATTAATTAAAGCACTGAGTTTTTCTGTGGCACAGGAAATGAGAAATGAGGTATAAGTTCTTAAAATCAGTAATCTATTTGTTACACAACTCTTAATTCCTCAAGTCCCCAAACCTGTACCTCCTTCCTGTTTCAGCGACTGGAATCACCATCTACCCAGTTAGTCAACCAAGAATCTAGATTTTATCCTTTATTTTTGTTTCCTCATCCCTCATATCTAATTGATTAGATCCTTTTAGTTTTAGCTCTCAATGGAGGGCTTTGTACTAGCCCATGGCTTGGCTCAATTGTAAATCAGGAGCAAGCCCTATAGTCTCTGTCACAACTACTCAACACTGCTGTCTAGAGCTAAAGTAGCCATTGATAATATGTAAGAAAAGATCATAACTGTTTCCAATAAAACTATTTATAAAAACAGGCAGTAGGCTGGATTTGGTCTACAGGTTGTAGTATGTTCACCTCTGCACTTAGCCATTCCCTCAGCTGGAAATATACTACCTCCAGGTGATCTTATTATTCAGATCTCACTTCATATGTCTTTAAAGCCATCTTTTACCAACCATACTAAAAAAGGACCCCCCCCCTTTCCCTTACCTCCAGTTGCTTTTTATCATATACATTATGGCATTTTGAACCGTGTGAATACAAAATTATCTTGTATCCTTCATGACAGCAGGTACCTTGTCTGTTTGGTTCATTCCCAGCTCTGGGAACTGTGTCTTGTTTGTGATTGGTATTTGTTAATATTTGTTGGATGAATGATGATTTGTTGGTTTTCTTATTTTTAGCCGGTATGAAAGGACTATGGATAACATGGCTTCATCAGCCCAGACAATTCAGAGATCTTTCTCTTCTCCAGAAAATTTTCAGAGACAAGCAGTGGTAGGCTAATTTTTCAACTTTAGTTGATAAATCATACTAGTTAAAATGTTTATATTCTGTAAGATAACTTGTTTTTGTTTGGTTTTCTCTCTTTTTTGCTTCCCACTTCCCTCAGATAACTTGCTTTTAATTAACTGTTTGCTAAGTTGGGGTTCTGTTCTTTAAACTGTAAGGAACAAATTAACTTTTCTACTTATTTATTAAATCAACTTTTTGTTAAATTTTAGTAAGACTAGCATGATCTTTGTAGATCACTCTATGTAGCTGGAGTATATGCTTCAGAGATTTGAGGTAAATACAAGCAGAGCTTCATTTCGTAATTGCATTGTTCTTTTCAACCATTGCTTATACATGTGTGTGTTTGTGTGTTTACAAATCCTGGAAACTTATTCTGTATTGTACTTGCTGAGTGACTTCTCATTATGAACACTCTTTAGTACTTTGATACACTGAAGTCTTCTAGACCAGCTCCTTCTTAACTTTCCATTTATTTATATCACTCTGAGACTATACTTACCATGTTAGGTATTTCTTACTATTTCATCTTTGTCTTCAATCATCAAGTCCTTTTTTTTTTTTTTCCTCCCTTTGCAGTGTCTTGCTTTTGTTTGTTTCTTTTCATTTTCTTTCCTTAAACCATAATCTTGGCTAGTGGTCCTCAGACTTTTATATTTCACAGGTCTGTGAAATAAAATTGAGAGACCAACAATTAAGATGTCAATATTTTATACCAAACCAAATCCACTGCCATCCTGTTGGTTCTGATGCATAGCAACCCTAAGGGAGAGTAGAACTGTCCCATAGAGTTTCCAAGGCTGTAAATCTTTATGGCAGCACATTTCCACATCTTTTTCCCTTGTGGGTTTGAACCACTACCCTTTTGGTTAGCAACGAAGTGCTTTAGCCAGAGCACCACCAAGGTAATTTTCCTCATTTTGCCATAGACCAAAAAAAAAAATTTTAAATCACAGTGGACTAAGGGCTGTCTACAGGACAGAATTTGAGAACCATTGGTCTAGTCCATTACCACTTACCTCTATTTTCTTCTCACTAGTCCCTCTTGCACACCATTTCTAAATTCATATTATAATCCTGTTTCATTTATGTACCCCACACATTGACTTCCCATTGTTTGCAGGATAAAATCAGAATTCTCTATCCTAGTTATTAAATATTCAGTAGTCTGACTCCTTACCTTCCATTAGACTTTGCTTATAAGAGCTATAGCCTGTCTTGGACAGCTATTCTGTGAACCTGTGTCCTCAATTTTGGTGTTATTTTTGTTTGTGCAATTTCTGTCCTTGTTATGTTTCTTTATGTGTTCATTATGCAGTGATTTGTATTGTAGTCATTTTGTGTGACTTCTGATTTGTGTTCTTGAGGGCAAGTAGTATTTATGTACAAATACCTTGTACATATACATTGGAATGAATTACGGAATGGTACTACTTTATGTTTAACTTGGGATCCATCTAGGCAAGAGTGATTTTGCTTTTTTTATTGTTACTATTATTATATATGTTACTAACTATGACCAAATATATACTGGCTTTGATACGTAGAAATATTTTCTCTTCCCTCAGATGAACAATGTTTGGAGACACCTGTCATATGGTGGGAAATTTGGTTCTGCACAGTTGGATCAACCAGGATTTTCCCCATCAGTTCAGTCACATAATCATTCATTTAACCAGTCTTCAAGCTCCCAGTGGCGGCAGGATACATCATCGTCACAGCGTAAAGCCAGACATAATTCTCATCCTTATGTAGCAGATAGACATTACAGCCGTGAACAATGTTATACTGATCACGGATCTGACCATCATTACAGAGGAAGCAGAGAAGATTTCTTTTATGAAGATAGGAATCACGATGGCTGGAGCCATGACTATGATAACAGAAGAGACAATGGTAGAGATGGAAAATGGCGCTCATCTCGACACTAACAAGTATTAGTAGGACATTGTCTTTCTTTTTAAAGGGTCATTTTAGGCCCTTTTGGCTAAATTGGTCTGGAAAAGTTTTGTTGAAAAACTGTTCGGAGCAGCTTTACAAGTTGCCATATCTTTTAAAAAATTTTGTGTTAAACCGTAGCTACAGTTTAATACAGAAATAAGTATAATTGTGGTTCTAGTTTTATTACATTGATTACCTTTTACCTCAGGGTTTTTTGAAGAGGAAAGGGATTTTATGCAGGAGAAAGTGCCACAATTCCTAATCATTTTAGACTGTTTAGGAAAGGGTGAACAGTATAATTCGGTTGCAGTATAAAGCAAATATTTTAATTAATTGTTTGTAATCTTTTCGTATTACAAGAAATTTCTTGTTAGTGAATCAGCTTTTGGTGTTATGTTACAGAAAATGTCCAAGTGTTAGTCTGAAATGGATGGCTACCATATTTTGTTAATAAATTAGAAAATGTAACTTTGCAGCCATTCAATTTCCTGGCATTATATTTGAGAAAGCTTATTGGTTTGGATGGCATCTATCTTATTGTTTGACCTTTTAGACAATTTAAGTATAAAAATTATATGACATGTTCTTTTGGATTTTACCCTGTGAAAATACAAGTATAAATTTATAATACTGTTTCACTCTAATATATTAGGATCTGGGAATAAACACCAGCATGTCCAAGGATGTCATCCTTGTCACTGAATACGTCTGAAGCCTCAGTCAGAATCCTCCAAAGGAACAGTGGTCTCTGCAGGAATGCATGACACTGGATGCCCTGAATATTCTTCGACTGCTGCCAAGAAATCCTTTATATGAAGCAGTAATGCTGGCAGCAAATCAAAGAGCACCGACAGCATACAAGACAGTGGATGTGGAAGAATTGAGGCAGAAAGTGGAGGAGAGGTGTCAAGGAAAGGACCAAGATGAGAGATTCCAAGTGAATCTGAAGAGGATGTTGAAGCTTTTGGGCTAGATGGCAAAATGAATTTCTTCAGACAAGAATTGGACAACACAAGGTTTTGATTGCAGGAAACCTGAAGAATTGAGGCAACAAGTATTTCAGCAAATGAAAGAGAGACAGTCTAAACTTAATACACTTGAAGGTGATGTCAGCTTTCTAACTGCATGCTTGGGGTATAGCAGTCTAGCACCACACAAAACAATTGCATCCTTAATCAACAGTTGTGCCTCCCCTACCAATGGTTGCTACAAAAACAGTTTCTGTGTAAACCTTGGCCAATTTGGGACATCATGATCTTTGTGTTGGCTTCTCTTGTGCTTTGATCCCCAGCAGTAGTTCTAAAAGCATCTTGACCCTTGGCCTGTCACTGAGCCCACTGCCAGTGCCACTTTTGGACTCTCTTTCAAGCACATTCTCAGCAAATAAGGTCGTCTCTGATCCTCAGCATTGACGTCCAGCTGGAGTGCTTCAGCCAAGCAAAAGTATTCTTACGACAGAATGCTGGTATATGTTGAAAATTTTAAAACAATCAGGATCCGCTTATTAAATCTTGTTTGGTGTATGTCAAAACTCACTCAGGAAGTTAAATATTTCTAGATGTATATTTTTACGTCAAGAAAACAGTATTAGTTTCAGTTGCCTTTTTCAAGAAAAAACTTGTAAATGCATAGTCATAAAATGGTAAAATGTTTTACTGAAATTGTACCTTTTTTGGGGAAGAGATTCATGAAGCTTTTATGTACATTGCTTCTGCCACTCAAAATTTTAACATTTTAAAACGCACAGGGTGTGTGTAAAAGGACACATTTTATTCTAGAGATTGTATAGTTTGCTTTTCTCTGGACATTTGAAGAAATTCTTAAATATTTCATGATTTAAAATTTTTTAATCTTGTTTAACAAAGCTTTTTTGTATCGATGATACTGTTTCACTTTCCTTATAGAATATAAACTTATTTATAAAATTTTATTCATTGAAAATTCTGGACCTTTTTAATACCATGGCATTGTTATATGTTGCTTTTTAATATATTTAAAATTAAACATCCAAAGGAGGGCTTTGTCTGATTTATAAGATCACTAACTTCAGAGACATACAAAAAGCACAGTGTTACTCAATGATTGATTGTCTTGATATTAAGAATGTCAGTTTTTTAACTTACAGCATCCTGGGACTCACAGTGACAGAACGAAAAGCTGCCTGCTCCTGTGCCGTCTTCACAACTGTTGCTATGCTTAATTAAGCCCATGTTGCAGCCACTGTGTCAGTCCATCTTGTTGAGGGTTTTCCTCTTTTTTGCTGACCCTCTACCAAGTATGACTTCTTCCAGGGACTGACATGGTCCTTCCTGAGAACATCCAAAGTACATGAAATGAAGTTTCACTTCTAAGCACTATTCTAAGCTATACGTCTTCCAAGACAGATTTTTGTACTCTTCTGGCAGCCTAGGGTATATTCAGTACTCTTCACCAACACCATAATTCAAAGGCATCATTTCTTAGGTTTTCCTTACTCATTGTCCAGCTGTTGCATGCATATGAGGTGACTGAAAGTGCTATGGCTTGGGTCAGATACACTGGAGTCCTCAAAGTAACATCTTTGCTTTTTAGCACCTGACGAAGTCTTTTGCCACAGATTTGCCGAATGTGCTATCTTGGTTTTTGAAATCCTTGACGTCTATATTTTGTCTGTTTATCAGATGTTGCTTATTTCTCTAGTTGTGAAGATTTTTGTTATGTTGAAATCTATAGTGAAAGGAGCCCTGGTTGCACAGTGGTTAAGCGCTCAGCTGTTAACCAAAAGGTCAGCATTTCAAACCCACCAATCCTTCCATGGGAGAAAGATGTAGTCAGCTTCTATAAAGATTACAGCCTTGGAAACCCCATTGGGCTCTTGTACTCTACTGTAGGGTCACTATGAGTCAGAATAAACCCAATGCAACAGGGGTCTTTTAATCCATACTGAAGGCTGCATGCAGTCTTTGATCTTCATTTGGAAATGCTTTAAGTCTTCATTTTCAGCAAGCAAGGTTGTGTCATCTGCATATCTCAAGTTGTTGATAAGTCTTCATCCAATCCTGATGCATTTTTCTTCATATACCAAAACCAAACTCACTGCCATTGAGTTGGGTCCAACTCATAGCGACCCCTCCTTGGGTTTCCGAGGTGGTATCTCTATGGAAGTAGATTGCTCAATCTTCCTTCTGAGAAGTGGCTGGTGGGTTTGAACTGCCAGCCTTCTGGTTAGCAGTCAGGTGCCTTTGGCACTATGCTACCAAAGCTCCTTTTCTTCATACAGTTTTGCTTAAATTAAATCTCCACCATAGATGACTCTTGCTGATACTTGAACTACCAGTGGCATAGCTGCCAGCAACACACAAACCACCGCAGTACAACAGATTGACAGACAACTGGTAGTATATCTGGTACATACCAAGGATCAGCTTTTCAGTGACACATTTTGTTTCTAGGTGAATGGTGCCTTTCCAGTTACTCTGTAGAGAGCAATAAGACCAAATGCTTGTTAAGCAGTTTAATGGGATTTTCCAGTCATCCTGTTATTTTCAAGTATCTTGTTTATGTGAGAACTTTCTCCAAGATTCTGTAGATATCAACAGATTAAAACAGCTTTATTTCAACGTAATCTGTAGGTGTGATCCATTCATACTAGTTCATAAGTGATCCTAGTTCAGAATAGTGTATTATCAAATAGTGTTATGGGCTAACCCTTGTGAAGTTCCAGTGAACCTTGCTCACTTCTACCTCATTCAGTGGATGTAACCAAAATCAATAAATGTACTCTGTAAATGTGTCTTCTGCATATTGCAAATTGTTAATTAGTCTTCATATAGTCCAACTTCTTGGGTTATTGACTCAACATACGGATTAAGTAAGTACGGTGAAAATTCATACTTTCTGTTCACACCCCTGATATTTAAACCACTCAGTAAGTAGCCCCTTGTTCTGTTCAAAAGATTGCCTCTTAAGTCTTAAGTACAGGTTCTGCATGAACACAGTTAAGTGATCTGGAGTTCCCATTTTTTGCAATGTTACGCATAATTAGTCATGGACCACACAGTCTTAAGGCCATTGCATAGCCAATAAAATACAAACATCTGGTATTACCTGCTTTCAGCAAAGATCCATATGACATCAGCAAGTATCTTCAGCAAAATTTTACTGGTGTGTGATGTTAATGATAACCGTTTGATAATTTCTACGTTCTGATGGATCACCATTCTTGAAGCGCTGATAGAGATCAAAGACTACAGCCTTCAATACAAATTACACCTCAAAGTAAAACAACAATTAGAGGAAATACTGACATTGTCAAGGATTTCATTTTACTTGGATCCACAATCACTGCCCATGGAAGCAGCAGTCAGAAGCCAACATATTTCATTGGACAGATCTTTTTTTTTTTTTTTTTTATTAGGATTTGGGTGAAGATTTACAGAGTAAATTCACTTTTCATACAGCAGTTCACATATACTTTGTCTCATGACATTGACCAAAATTTACAATGCAGCAGCTCCCCTCCCACTTCCTCCCCATAGTTACCTCCTCCCAGTGTCCATCCCTTCATACTCTTCTGCACCCTGAGCTATCTCCCTGTGCATAAGCAGCCCTTCCTTCTCCCATGATTGTTCTCTCCAGGGCGTGTGTCTACTTGAGGTAAATGTTTAACTCACATGCCTGTACTTTGGCTGGAAACCACAGTTGTGGGTTCAATTCCAGACCTGAAGGGCAGCTAGGGGCCATAGTCTCAGTGGTTACACCAGGCTCCATTGGACCAGCAAACCTGGTCCCCGCCTTCTTTTTTTTTTGCCTCCAAATGATTTTGAGTTTTGTACCACATTGTTCTCCCTCTCTATGCAGGATCTCCTACATCCCTTCCAAGTGGATGGCAGTGGTAGCTGGGCACCATCTAGTTCTTCTGGTCTCATAGTTGTATAGGTTGCAGATCGGATGGTGTACCAGTCTCTAGGACTGGTTGTTTCCATTAATTTTGGTTTTCTTCTTTCTTCTT